GGGGGGGGGGGGGTTTTACAATATAAACCGATTAAGAAATTAACATTATCAAATCATGTGGTAATGTTTTTATAGAATTCAAAAATGGTTTCCAGATTTGATCAAATAATTCACCTCTCCCTCTCAATTAATATGTGATCTTCTCTAATGGTACACAGTTGCAAACTTACGATAACCACAGTCCACTTGGCACATCAATGTCTGATTTCCATTTCAAGGCAATACATTTTTTAGCTATTATCAGCAACATTTCAGTATAAAATAACTCTTTTCTATTTTAAATTTTTTTTAATATATAAAGCTGAATTTTCAGCATCATTACTCCAGTCTTCTGTGTCACATGATCCTTCAGAAATCATTCTAATATACTGATTTGGTGCTCGAAATGTTCTTATTATTATCAATGTTGAAAAAAGTTGTGCTGCTTAATTGCTTAATTGTGGAAAAAGTGATGTATTTATTACAGGATTCTTCGATGTATATGAAGTTCAAAGCACAGCATTTATTTGAATCTTATAAAAAATGTCTCATTTTTTATCAATTTGATTTCGCCTTGCTGAACAAAAATATTATTTAAAAAAACAGGTGTTATTATAATAATGTACAATAATATAAAAAAGTCAATTTACATATACCCGTTACATTTATTAAATTATTCATATATAATATCAAAGTGTCAGTGCTTAATGTTTTTATTTATTTTTGACTAATGAACTTTTTAAATACTTGGTGGAAGAATTGCAGAAATAATGTACATTTATAATAATGTAATTTTAAATTATTCAGATTATTATTTTTAATATAAAGTATGTATAATATAAATGTTAATGTCGGTTTTATTTTATTTGTATGCTTAATAAATTCACTACTATTAATTGATATAATTTATATATCAGTTATTGATGCATATTGATGATGCAGCCGTTTAATAAACAAGCCTAACAGTCTCTTAACCGTGGTAAAATCACTGAGGATATAACATATCATGTTTGTGTGCATCTTTGTTGTAGATCATGCCTTCCTGAGCTTCAGGCCTTCTCAGGTGGCAGCTGCCTGCATAGCTGCGTCCAGAATCTGCCTGCAGATCTCCCCCAGCTGGACCACTGTCCTCCACCTGCTCACGGGCTACTCCTGGGATCATCTGACGCAGTGCATCCAGCTCATGTTACTGTAAGAGCAAACCACAGTATATGCTCGCATTCATAGAACAACATAATGTGGCCTGAAGTAAACCACACATGCTGTACCTCACCCTGCTCTTTTGTTTCATTTTTCAGCGCTCACGACAATGACGTAAAAGAAGCCAACAAATCCAAATCGTCCCCTTCCGCCAGTCAGAGCCTCCATCCGCAAGCTCACGTCCCCCACAGCCCCGCCACCCCCTCTCTGCAAAGGCAGCCCGCCTCCAGCTCCCAGCAGCTGCTCCTCCAGGCCAGCAGTTACCCGCAGCTCTCCCAGCACTCGCCGGCGTTATCCCAGCTGCACATGCTGGCCGACTGCCAGGCCCTGGGACCGGTGGGCTCTCGGGAATATCTGCAGCCCCACCAGGCCGGTCTGCTTTCGGCCTCAATGCCGTCTTTCCCCAGCTTGGCATCGGGGCTGCGAGGCTTGCCCCTCCAGGGTCCCATCTCCATGCAGGTGAACATGGGGCCCGAGCGCCACTGCCTCGGTCTGACTTACGGGAGCGGCTACTTGAGTTCCCACCACACGTTCACAGCGGGCTGCTTCGACAGGTGACGCCAGGAGAGGGAGGACAAACTCAGCCTGGGGCTGCCGCCGTCCTCCGCCCTCTCTGCTGCCCCCAAGGGGCTTCGCCTCGGACGCCGACGAAGAATTTCCAAACAGAAAACCAACAGTCGAGTGGATCCAACTGAGGTCATAGTATTAACTTGAGAACTCTCGTTTTTTAGCGTTTGGGTTTTTATGAACTGAGGATGTCTATTTTTTAAGATTATTTAGCCAAGTGGGGACCTTCTTCCAGTGTCACAAGCTTATGAATTGGGGATCCTTTTTTAAGCACACAGCCTTAAGAAGAGAAATCAAGTTGATCCGCATTCCATCCCACCAGCATTTTCAAACAAGTCCTTGAACTTTCACACTGGATTTGCTGTGCGGTCCTTTAATGCTGCTGCCTTTTTATATGCACCGATGGCTTTACGACCACGAATCCTGTCTCCCTTCTGGTCTTGTTTACAGTGACATGCCACATATCAGGGATGTACAGATCTCTTTAATACGAACAAACAACATACCATTGAACCAGCTGATGTTTGTACGAAGTGGCTTCTTTTGTTCTCGTCTGTGTTTCTTGCCGAAGTCTTTAGAGAAGGTTGACATTACGCTGAGGTTCCAGTTCCCTCAGGCAGATGGAGGGAGAAGCCCCAGGGGACGGAGGCATCTGTGCTCCCCTCTTTTCCATGCTGGAGGAAACCATGCTTTACTAGTTCCTCCTCCTCCCTCCAGGGAAAAATAGCCATGATCGCCCTGCGGTTCTGCCGTGTGCTATGAAGATGACTTCATTGTGCTGTACCTCTTCCCATCAGACACTGTGGCTCGTAAAGATTACCTCACTGTTACACTGTCATTCACATTTACCTCCAAGGTCATGCTAATAACTAGTTTAACCTAGTTAGAAAAGATGGTTCTGCTGTTACAGCTGTAGCGTCATACCTTTAGGTCAACATTTTAGTCTCGTTTCTGTTAAGCAGACGGTCCAAAATATTTTATTATTATTATTATTATTATTGTAAACTAAAGATAAGATTAACCAAACATGTTACGTTTCTTTCCTTTTGTTATTGTCCTTTTTTGTTGTTGAGAGGGTTCTTAGACTACACAATGAATTCCTTTATGTTGACTGGCCTTGAGACCAAAGTGTCTGCTTTACGTCCTGCTGAATGAGAAGCTTTTTCAACCACTTTACTGGACTTTGGATCAAAATCTTTCTCCTATAGTCCTGAACTTTGAACTACCTCAGTATATTGCCATTTATGTGCTGATTCTGCAGGGCTCGTCTTTTCGTTTTATGTTTCTTCTTCTCGATCGGTCAGAACATTCAAGTGCTTTTTTACCCAGAACGCAGGATTTGTTGTAGTTGTTGAAGTCCCGTGATTTGTATAGGTAGAGAACTGTGTTCACTGTAACAGACACGCACTGTTTGATATTTCAAGTCATTCTCTTGTTGAAGCCTCTGTGTGTGCAATATGTAATCATTAGTTTGTTACTTTTTAGACTGTATATTTTAATTTTGTACCACTACTTTTTTACAATGTAGAATTAGTTTTTCGTTGGTTTGGTTTGTTTTAACACGCTATTACTGCTTACATGCAGTGATTTATTTTTTCACCAAGAAAATGTTGCACATTGCAACCATTGTCTCCTGAATCTCTAGACATTTACTAGACTAGAGAACATTGATTCTGCTCATTCAGTGATCTTATGGGTTTATTTAAAAGCCTGTATTTGGGTAGGGAAGGGGATAGCAGGTGTAAATTGGATAAAACCCCCGGAAATAAAATGGAAAAAACACAAAAGCTTGGTAAATGTTTCGTTCATGTGTGAATCATACATTTTGAATAGACGCTGGATTTGCATGGCTCGGGGGCGAGTTGTTTCATATGAATGTCTGTACTCTTTGCGCATGAAAAGGTCTTTGGTGGGGTGGGGAGGTGGGGGGGTCGTGTTCGTTTGGCTCCACCCCAAATACCACTGCCCTCCCCCTTCCTCCCCGCATGTAACGCGCTGGACTGAAGACAATGGGGGAGATTCCTGCCCCACATGGTGGTTCTTCCTGTCACTAAAACACCACTAAACAAATAAAGCGCATCCAACTGAGCAGCACTGATCGTTTCACAGATAAAAGCTCTTGGGCTCAAAGAACAGCCGACAATAGCTACAGTAGTTTTGGTGTGATGGACAAAATGTGATTTTTCTGTAAGTGAGTGTTTTAAGGAAACATCTGTGTCGTGCAAAAGACAGAGAAGAAGAATTGGAAGGGACTGATCTTCTTTATGACTATGGGGGTCATAACTGTTTTTGGACTAACTGAGTTGGTAGTTGCATACAGTCCTTAAAACTAATAGAGACAGCCATGATTTAGCTGGGTTAACGTGTTAGACCTTAAAGGGATAGTCACCCAGAAATGAAAAAGGTCTTTTACTAGCTCCCATATCGTTCCAAACCTGTCTTCTTTACAAAAGAAGATTATTTTGAAGACTAACATATTTTTAACGGTTTCAAGTTCCCTTTTACTTCCATTGTATGGAGTAGTCAATGAACAAAAACTATTGGGTTTCAACGTTCTTCAAAATATTTTCTGTCTTTGTTAAGAAGAGCAAAGCAAGTCTTACAGGTTTGTAATGACACGAGGGTGAGTAAATGACAATTTTCATTTTTGGGTGAACTATCCCTTTAATGACCTTGAAAAACCTTTCTTGACTTGAGGAGCCTTATATAACTCTGTTCTTTTAGGAAGCCATATAATTTTATAGGCTGTAAAATTGGTTGCGAGAAGCCATAGTTTAAAAAAAAAATTTAAATATTAGCATTTCTTATACATCTATCATCTTGCTTCAGAAGACTTGATTGATTCATCAACCGCGGTCATTGGATTCCTGTCATGTCCGTTTTTTAGGCATCGACACTATATTATATGGAGTCATTATTTTTCTTAAAATCTTCATTTGTGTTCATCTGGGAAAAAAAAGTCTGGTATGGCCTAAATAAAAAAAATTTTCAGGTGAAGTATCCATTTAAAATGTAAAGAATGAATTCTCGATAGGGTGGAGCTTGCTGCGGATTAGGGCTTTTATCCGTTTAATTAAAGAGATTGGGTGGATAGCAGACAGAGAGAGGGGTCTCCCTTTGTGCTGGAGCCTGGTGGGGGGTACATGGGCAGGCCCTGGGAGGTGGGCCACATGTCTGAGTTGGTGTGATGATGAAGAGACAAGCAATCGGGTGAGGGGGGGTTTAGAGCTGGCAAAGGGGCAGTTGGGTAATAGATCATTTTCACAACCTTTGTTTGCAAAGCAAGGCAGGGGGAGGGGCTGGCACCTTTTTACTTAATTACCAGGAGGGGGGTACCTCTAAACTGAAGCGTGCCCTCGACTGCTTTTGTTTTATTTATTTATTTTATTCATGCTGAATCTTCAAATGGATATTTAGTTTGTTTATATATATATATATATATATATATACACACAGTGAGATTTAGGATTAACAGTGTTTGTCCAGTTAATGATAAAATTTTGTAATTAATTAATTTTATTTATTCATATAAAATATTTATTTTTTTATATTTTATTATAATTATTTTTTTATATTTTATTTATTTATTGAAGTTTAAATCTTAAAAATGCCTTAAAACCAAGCCCCATATTTAAAGATTTAAAGTATTACCCTCAATATTTTTTTTATTTATTTCTTAAGAATATTGAACTCCCCTTCAATCTTTATTAGTGTTGCCCTCAGTATTTTATTGTATATTGCTTAAGAATATCTTAAATCAGGCCACACCTCCTTTATGTATTACTGTTGCTCTCAGTATTTTTATTTTATTTGTTAATTAAAATTGTCTTAATCTTTAAAAACCTTTAAAAAATTGCCTTGAAAAACCAAGTACCCATCCACTCTCCATGTACTATTAGTATTGTCCTCAGTATTTTATTTACTTGTAATGCTCATTTTAGTTGTTGCTTAAGAATACCTTAATCTTAAAAAGGTACCTTGATAAATCAAGCCTCCACCTGCTTTCTTTGTTATCATGAGTGTTTTTTTTTTAAAGAATGCTTTTGTCTTTGTTAGAGACTGGCCTGCAGGGTACATGCAGGATTGAAGTGTGGACTTCCCTCCAGTGGTGGTCAGGCAGCCAGCAATCATTCTAATTTGATTAGATATTTTATGTCTTTATAATGTGACATTATTGGATGCTGATTTCATCATTGAATCACTTTATGCATTAGCAGGATGAAGTAGAAAGATCAGGAGACATTAGTCAGTTTAACTCGTACACTTTATTCAAGTAAATGAGAGGTCAGAGCAGAACAGGGTCATTTATCTCAATAATGCAGTTAGATCTTCTTGCTTGTACGTACAAAAACAACTGGACCACTAGCACAAGTGGCTGTGGAGGTCTGTAAAGCAAAGCAAAAGCACTTTAGCTACTGTACAAGCATTGAAACTCATTTCACAAAGTCAAATATCATGATATCTCACCTCCACCAGCTTTCCACTGCTGATCTCAGATGTGTGGTGGTACTTGGGGAAACTTATGGCCAGCTTGCCTCCTTCCATGGAGACTATGCCCTAGTGAGGACATGCAAGTGTGAGTTCTCATCACTTGCAAACTAGCCTTTAAAGGGGTCATCGGATGCCCATTTTCCACAAGTTGATATGATTATTTAGGGTTTTAATGAAAAGTCTATAACATACTTTGGTTAAAATTTCTCAATGGTAGTGTAAAAAACACCTTTTTTTTTTTTTACCCTTTCGAATCAGCTCTTTTCAGCAAGCCATTCTAGTCCATGTTGCTTTAAATGCTAATGAGCTCTGCTGACCCCGCCCCTCTCTTCCGTGGGGTGACGAGCAGACTGTAAACTTAAGCTGCGAAACTGGCCAACTAGCACATTATTAGGAAAGGCGATTTGCAAAGATTCATAAAAAACCCTTATACTCACTTATTCTGTAGATGAAGCTGGATCACGAATGATTCACGAGAACATAGACTCATTTAGGTAGATTGGGATCGGCGCATTCCCTTCAGAAACGAAAGTAACGTTAATCCTCTGCGTCTTCAGCAGCTCAGATGTCGGGAGTAAATGACGACTGCTATATTTATTCTTACATCCAACAACAAAACACCTCAATCTTAATCGGAGACATTCTTGTCTTCCCCTGCACCGGAGTCGACACAATGGCGGTCTGATGACAGCTCACTCAGGGCGGGTCTAAGGTAAGACGGCCTTGTCAATCAACTATCGTGGGAGGGGCCTGTGCAGAACTTGGTCATTCTGACAAGAATCTCAGAACAGCCTGATTTGAGAAAGGGGATTTTAAAATAGGGATTTAAAAAAAAAAAACACTGGGTGGATTTTTATCATTATAGGGTGGATGTGTACACACTTTCAACACACATTTATGTTCAAACAACTTGTAAAGTGAATTTTGCATCCGATGACCCCTTTAAGAATCTCACTGAAGTCATAGTAGCTTCAGTCTGATCTCTCATGAAAGTTATGAGGTCCTACCTTAAATTTCTTCCCTCCAACAGTCTCCATGTCACTCTCTTTGCCAACGATGAACTTGTTGGTCACAACATGGTTATTTGGGTAGTACTGGATCCATGTGAAATCATCTCCATTCTGGATGACCTCTGTCACAAGCTTGAAGTCACGGCCCTTTGAGATGACATCATCAGGGATACCTGAGGTGTACGGGACCGAATCAGCATATTAGAATGATTTCTAAAGGATCATGTGACACTGAAGACTGGAGTAATGGCTGCTTACAATTCGGTTGTGCCATCACAGGAGTAAATTACATTTTAAAATGTATCAAAATAGAAAGAAATTCTGTAAAAATTTATTGATATTTCACAATATAACTGTTTTTACTATGCGTTTGATCAAATAAATGCTGCCATTAAGAGAATTGTTTCAGAAACATTCAAAAATCTTTATTATTCCATAATTTTACCAGTAGAGTATGTTGAAATGTGTCCTCTTAAAAATAAAGATTCCAAATGGGGATTTTTTTTGCAGCGATGCCATAGAAAAACCATATTGGGCTTCACAAAGAACCTTTCATTGAACTTTTTTTCAGTGTGAGGAACATTTTAATAATTTATAGAAATTTTTATATTCATAGATTTTTTTTTGGTTCTTAAGACTTGCTTGCAAATGAGATGCAAACACACCAGAACATGTAGGACAACATTTTCTTGTCCAAAGCAATTTATAGTACAAGGACAGTCTAAACTAGAGCAACCTGGGATTAAGTGCATGGAAGTGCAGACAGAAATTCTCAAGTTATAGCAATTCATAAATCATCGTTTCACGTTTGAATTACAAACTCTTCCACTGTACTCTTAAAAAATAAAGGTTGTTTTTCTTTGTGTGAAGAACATTTTGATATTCTAGAGAACCTTTTTCTTCTGTAAAGAAACTTTTGTGCAGTGGAAAGGTTCTGTGGGTGTTAAATGTTCTTCATGGAACCGTAAGTGTTAAATTAAGAACTTTTATTTTTAAGAGTGTGGCTTTCCACCATCAACAGAGCAAAAATCAGTTGTTTGAAAAGTTGCAGCTTACCAATCAGTTTGCAGAACTCTTCATATCCATCCTGAGATTCGGTTTCCCACTTTCCGTTGAAAGCCATGGTTTGGGCGTTGATTGTTGAGCAGAGAGGAAGAGCAAGCTGAGAACTGAAGTACTGATGGGTGAAGTTTCCTGCTCTTATATTCCCTACCGATCTTCAACTCTGCCTCTTTTTTTCATGACATTATGGGCACACCATCACCATAACCAAGCCATAAACTTTTACGATGGCCTCACAAAAGCACAAGTCATCAAGTGCATGACCGCACGGCTTACCTGGGTAGCAATGATGTACCGTACATGGGCAATGAAGGATAATCATTCATGCTTAAAATCTTTTCCAATACAGTGTGTACAGTGACACAACATTGAATATAATGGAAATAGCACTTGCCATCTATATGGTCAATATTCACGACAAACAGATGATTAATGGGAGCAATATAGCAATATCTCCCATTTTTGCAGCAGACTATCTCGTAATGAACCAGCTACAAACCAGGTTTTAGATTACAGCTGTCGTGCCGGAAGCTTGGTAGTACTGAAGGCCATCTGCCTTGACCTTGCTTTTGAAAGGATAGCAAGTGCTTTATGTCAGACTGAACTATATGTTCCAGTAGATAGTGATTCATACCCACACAAATCTTTCATAAATCTAAAAAACTCAACTAAGAGGAAAAAAAACAGGATATGCTATTCTTTACTTTGAATTTTCTACCAAAAAAATTAGATTTCGGAAAATTCTACTTTCTTCTGTGGAACATCGAAGATATTTTGAATGGAAGTCAAAGGGCTCCAATGATGTTTGATTCCCAATGTTCTTTAAAATCTCTTCTTTTGTGTTTCTGCAGAAGTAGAAAGCCATACATGTTTGGAACCACATGAGGGTGAGTAAATGATGTAAGAATTTTCATTTTTGTCTGGAGTATTCTTAAAATGGATCGATTAAAAATCTGTAATCAGATGAACCGTCTTAAAACTGTCTGTCTGTAAGTTTAGGCCCACGCCCTTCAGCACATAAACCTCTGCTAGTTTCTCATAGAATACAGCTTTCATTGCATCACCTCCTTTCCCCTTGGCCTTACATTTTCATTTTTTTCTCAAGTCTTACATTGAGATTTACAGATAAATTTCAGCTTCAAAGATCTCTACGACACACAAATCTAGCAGAATGATGAGCTGAAGAGAGATAAAAGCAGGATCAGAACAGGATGAGCTCTCTTTTTTACTTCCAGAGCTAGCTGCAACCATCTCTCACCTCTGAAAGCACACATTGATTCCTGGGGAACAGTGGGAACAGGCACTTCTGAAGCATCAAAATGTCATTTGATGATGAGATATTATTATCAGTGAAGTTTAGGTCTATCATGGGATAGTGCTGCAAGGAAGATTTTTTTTTTCACTTTTGTTGTGAATATGTAGCTACAACAGCATAATACAATGAAAAAAGGATTTTGCATTAACTGCAGTTTAAAAAAAAATGTATTGCACTCTATTGAATGGATTAGGAAAGCTGCTATATTAGCAAACAGACTGGTAAACCCCTGCTTACTAAATGACACAGCCTGAAGAGCATATTCACTTACATTATATGGTATGATTGCAAAACACTCGTTAAACTGTGTCCTTCACAATATAGTCTCCAAAAGAAAAGTTTAATGAATGAAAACCACATAGTGAAACATAAACTTTTATAATACCACCATGTGTCATGTTGAAACATTATATGGTGACAAATTGCTTTTGCAAAGAAATCTTGATTGCCTGTAGTTTCTTCATGAAATCAGAACATTTACCAATTAGTTTAACTGTTCTTCAGACCTGAAAGCTTAACATATACAGAAAATGTGCAAGATGTACTTTCATTTTCAGAGAAATTCAAATCAAGTCCGAGTTAATTCACTGTAGCGACTCCTTACAGCTGAGCTCTCTTCACAGAATAAGAGAAAGTATCATCATACAAGAGGAAAGGTGAAAGGTCAGTGCGCTGATGATCAGTAGGTCATTGACTATACAATGACATGTAGACGCTGATTAAGATGAGCTTAGCAAATATGCAAAAAAAGTGCAAAAGACAGCTAGATGGCATTGGCGCACATTAAAATTTTATGAATCAATAGCCTACCACCCTTTAGCTCATTAAATAGCCTAGCTACATTTTACAAGTGAAATTATCCATTAACCAAATGGTTCATAGTTCATTACTCTATGAACCATTCTGAATAAAACACATTTAATAAAAATGTTCAGAGAGTGTTTCACTCAGATGACATTGTGACATTGAGGGAATACTATTATAGTATTCATATTTTGAAAGATTTTATTTTTGTAATTTCGGATTTCATTTTAATTTTAGTTTACGTTTTAGTACATTTGTATTCGTTTTTTTTTATTATGTGTAGTAATTCAACTTAAAAAAAAATAACTTAGTTGCAAAATCAACATTTCTCATTTTCGTTTCTGTTTTAAAATCTTTCGTCTAATATCTATATTTAATTTAATTTAATTTAATTTCAACTTTAATTTCAAGATTTAGTTAATGACAACACTAGTTGGCAATAACAACGTTTAAGAAGATAAAAAATGGACCACACCAACAAACCCTGACGTAAATATACAACTCAACATCGCCCCTGGTGGCGCCAAAGTTGTATCTTCATAATAAAGTATATTGACGTAATAGAAGCCAATCACAATAGCGTTTCAAGGGATTTCCTTTGAACGGCAAGAACATGAGCCAACCAATGAAAACCGCATGTTGAAGCGGCCAATGGGAAGTGCCAGTAGTTGTAAGTGGGCGGGCTCTTATCTTATCAGGAGGACAGGCCCAAGTAGTAGTTGCAAAGCGGAAAGAAAATGGCGGCCGTGGCTGCGGAGCCAGGAGCTGCTGCGGCGGCATCAACAACAGCGGGGGACGGGGTGGACTACGAACCCGAGCCAGGAGAGCATGTGGTCGACCTAGAGGCCCACTCCGTCCCGGAAGTGGAGCTTTGTCACCGACCCGAGGATGTGGATGCAGTTCAGGAATGCAGCCAGGTCCAAATGGAAATCAGAAGGCCGGACCTTCAAGCCGCGGGAAAAGCCCTCGCTGCCCATGCGGACGGAGAGCGCACCCACACGGGTGGGTCCTGGGGCCGTCTGGGCAAAGCCGAGCAGCCCGTGCTTATGGACTACAGGTGCACAGATTACGAGGAATCCTTCTCGCCGAAGGTGGAGGCTGCAACCGAGGTCAGTGCTCTCGAATCCAGCCCCTGCCTTCTGCTCTCCCTTCCCGCTCAGGTTCCGTCGGAGCCCAAAACTGGACTGTCTCTGGCTGTCGAATACGACTCCAATCCCGCGTCAAGCCATCCTACCGATTTGGAGTGTGAACTCATAGGCTTTACGCAGCCGGATCCCGAACCCGCATCCGATGCTCCCGGGTCGGAACTCAAAACTCGCGAGGATGCTTTCCATGACATCCCGCACCCCTCAGATCACCTGGACTCCCTGTCCGCTGCGGAGGAGACCTCGCTGGGAGAATCGGTGGGTCAGAGCTGCATGAGTGACTTTTCTACTGTTTCCAGTAAGGACTCTCCCGAACTTCCAGCGGAGGTGGATCAGTCGCTCATGTCAGCAGCAGAGGCGGAGGAAGTGCGCTCGCATCCTCTTCATCAGCAGAGCTTCAAAACGGACCTCAGCGAACCCGACAGGGAGTCGGCGGAGACGAAAGACCCGGTTCTGTGTCCGGCGGAGCCCGGCGCCGTTGAGCGCCTGATGCTCGGCTCCGAGGTTCGAGTCACGCTGGATCACATCATCGACGATGCGCTCGTGGTGTCGTTTCGCTTGGGCGAGAAGATCTTCTCTGGGGTACTCATGGACCTTTCGAAAAGGTAAACACGGTACTTGTGCAAAGAAATTGCAGTTGTACATCCAGCATACTTCCCAAAGTTGGCTTTCGTGGCTGTCAGAAAGATAAACAGCATCTTCACCATTACATATTGGTTTAGAAATAATCTTTTAGTTCATGGTATAAACTGTCACTATAGTTTAGATTATAGCTTTATGCTTTATAAAAATTAAGCCATTACTGTGACTGTTTTTGTCTGTTCTATTTTATTGTTTTACTCGTTTTATTTTCCTAAACATCTTTTAGTTCATGGTATAAACTGTCACTATAGTTTAGATTATAGCTTTATTCTTTATAAAAATTAAGCCATTACTGTGACTGTTTTTGTCTGTTCTATTTTATTGTTTTACTCGTTTTATTTTCCTAAATTAATTATGTATATAAAAGCTGTATTGTATTATATTGTACAAGGGAAAATACTTATTTTGGTTGGTGTGACCGGCCACCATCTTTTAATTTTTTTTTAAATAACATTTGAATAAACTGTAAATAGTGACATGCAACAGATTAAATTTGCAAAGTAATCCAGGTCATAAAAATGACATTACACAAGAATAAACAAAAACATTGAAGTCTGTCATTACAGGACACTGCTGTCACTACTTAAATGTTCATGTCACCCATATAACTACTTGTAACTAGGTATTCATGATCATAATAACCGGAAAACAGTGTTATGCTGGGGATTAACACCCTACAAATTGCTCCCACAGTTTGTCTGTCTCAGCACCCTCGTTCACACATTTTCTCTGGTTGTCAGGGATGAATCATAGCAGAGCCCAATTTATAGTGGGATCTCCAGTCTCAATTCAATTCTCATTTGAGATAAATCAACATGAAACATTCTTGTGAAGTTGCTGTGTAGGGAATGTGTCCTGAAGAACCTGTGTGGCATCATTGTTAGGAAGTGATTACATCACCTGGAAATGATCACCTGGACACTTTTAGAGAAATTTCTCAATGCTGATAAACCATAAAATCAAAAGTAATCAGTCATTCCAGGATTGAAATGATGCTGTGGGGGCATATTCCAAAGATGCCCATCATCTTTAGCCTGACACCAATGACACAGACCAGGGATTCTCAAATTTTTTTAATCAGCCGAACCCCTTAAGCGATAAATATTTACTTGAAAAATGCTCTGAGATTTAAGTTAATATTTCAATAATTCAATGACAAATTTGCATGTTTTCAGTTTTCTGAGGTGAGGTCAGTGATGGTCACACGACATGCAAGTAAATAGATAAACAGTTTAAACTTTCTTTTTAGTTGTGATAGTGTCTAAGTCCACATTATATTCATATTAGTGTTTTAAGAACCCAATCAAACATAATAAAAAAATATATATTTTTTTTACTTTTTTGAATTCAACATTTTTGAAAGAAAAATATTACTGCTGTGAATTACAATTGTAATGTAAAATAAAAATTAATCTTTATTAGTAATTCTAGTAATAATAACTTTATTTTACACCACAAGTTACAATACTAATATTTATGTTTAAATTCACTTTCAAATGCCAAAACCCTGAAGCTATGAACATTTCAATTTCTCAAGCTTTTATTTTTGTGGAATGCAAGTGAAATGCTTCAGACTTATGTCCACAAAAATGTCGGAAAATATGCGAATGTGTAAATAAAGTAAACCTAATGCACGTTGCATTCCCATTTGCACTTTAAACTCACAGCAAATGCAGAGATAGAGTTTGCTGCATTCGCTGTGAACTGAGCCATTCACTGAATCACTTCACTTTGTAACGCAACACATCAGACTATACGTTATTTAATTAAATGGCAGCATTTGATTTGATGATCACGCTAAGCTGTATTGCGACGATCGTGAAGCTCTATACTTTCATTTTACATTCAATGTAATTAATTATTAGCTCAACGCAGGACCCCCCTGTAGTTCCCTCACAAACCCGCTAGTTGTTCGCAATCCCCCATTTGGGAAACCCTGACATAGATGGCAGACTAATATTTTAAACAATTATTATAGGTTAAAAAGCCTCTGGTTTTTTTTTGTATTTTTTTGTATTTTTTTATATAAACTGTGGGATGAGTTGAAATCATGTTCTGTACTTCACAGATGCTGCCACTTAAGTTTAACTTAAGTTCTAAGTCTTAGTTTCCTTTAATGCCGGGTTCAGACTACACAATATTTTTGTCGGTCACGATAGTCACTGTGTCAGATTACATAATTTTGACTCCTAAAATCTTGTCGTGTCGTGGACAAGAAACATGTCAGACTACACATTGCTTCCCCGACCATTCATCGTGTGCCGTCTTTAACGACACGCGTGATGTCATCGAGAAGGCGGAACTAGCGACTGACTTCCGAAAACAAGAGTGTAAACATTGCTGAAGCGCTTCCGCTATAGTTCGCCAGCATTTTTCTTTCTCTGTTCTGTCGTGGTAGTCCCTCGATGACACATCATACAGGCAGGAGTACTGTTGCCACAGCTCCACGAACCTTTCCTCCATCTCATAATTCCACCTAGCAGCACCATTATCTCTCTTTCGTTTCGCATGTTTGAAACCTGTGTATGAAAGAGCTGTGCTGCTATTGGTCAGTGTCACCAATGTGACAACTCGTCGTGGGCGACGGAAAAAAAAATCAAACATGCTAGTCTTTCTGTCGTGAAGCATCGCAGAGGCGGAATCGGTTGTTGTCCAATATGACACACTACACGAGCTGAAAAGATGGTCGTTTACGAATCCCCACGACACCCTAGAACTAGCGACTGACTTCCGAAAACAAGAGTGTAAACATTGCTGAAGCGCTTCCGCTATAGTTCGCCAGCATTTTTCTTTCTTTGTTCTGTCGTGGTAGTCCCTCGATGACACATCATACAGGCAGGAGTACTGTTGCCACAGCTCCACGAACCTTTCCTCCATCTCATAATTCCACCTAGCAGCACCATCATCTCTCTTTCGTTTCGCATGTTTGAAACCTGTGTATGAAAGAGCTTCTGTGCTGCTATTGGTCAGTGTGACCAATGTGACAACTCGTCGTGGGCGACGGAAAAAAAAATCAAACATGCTAGTCTTTCTGTCGTGAAGCATCGCAGAGGCGGAATCGGTTGTTGTCCAATATGACACACTACACGAGCTGAAAAGATGGTCGTTTACGAATCCCCACGACACCCTACGTCAAGCAAATCGTGGCAAAATCGGGCTAAAATCATGTAGTCTGAACCGGGCATAAGGCCCACAGCATTGGTGTTTTGAGTTTAACATGTTAATGATGAAATGCATTACAGCTCTGAATCTCAAACAGAAGCAAAAAGATGTTCTTAATTGAGAAAGTGTCACTACCTCAGCTAATGTTTCATGTTTCATGTGAGTAAGGCATCTGTGAGGGTGTGGGGAAAACCTCAAGCTTCCTTTCGTCAATTTCCATTGTGTCTTTAATGGGTTAGTGTAATTGCTGATGTTTTGAAGTGGTGACACAAGATGGACGTGGTGACGGATGGATAGATGGCTCTTCGTTCTATAATTGGTTAAAAGCAGCTAATGTCCTGGGTGTGGAATAATTTCCTTTTGAAGGTCCCACTGTTCCTTTGTGACGTAACCACCGCAGTACACGGAGTGAACTTGAAACAGTCAGTGTCATGGCGTTAAAGTGGTTTGCCAGACATACTGTCCAGTTTATTTTTAGCTTCTACTCTAGCTATCTTCATTTGCATTTTTCGACATTAGATCATTCCCAGTTTCTGGATGAAATGTCTAATGGGAGAAACATATCTCAGGATTGTCAGATCACTCCCTCCTTAAGTGCTAGCAACTGCAAGTTAGGTACAATCTATATTCGTCTGCCAGTTAACAGATCACAAACTCAACCCTTTTTTATGGGGTAGTATTTCCAGGGCACATTTTTTACACACTCTTATTCTACAGGACGGTATGCAAAATAGATTAAAAATATATATCATCTGATTTTGACACAAATAAGTATCAGTGTATTAGATGGAACATGCATTTTTTTGTGTGCCTATTAAAGCTAAAGCCGGACCGTGTGTGCAAAGGTGTCAATTCACTTCTGAAATAAGCTGTATGGTGGTTGGTACTTTACTCTGCAGAATATAAATGATTGTGGAGTAAGTTCTTCTTGACCCACAGTGGATATACAGTGAAAACTGTGAACAGGGTGATTGCCACAGATAATGGTTCTTTCAGGCCCAAGTGTCTGTTTTTGACATCCAAGGACGTTTTAGTATAACGTTTTGTTAGCAATGTTGCTTCATTGCGCTTTACTTATAATATCATGTTTTGGGCCAAACAAGAACAGCTTTCAGACAAAGAATGGTTTCATTTAATTTTTTAGACTTGCCTGTTCGTCCTCCTTTTGTAGAGGTATATATACTATTATAATGTAATAAAATATACTACACTAGGAAAGAATACTGTAATTTTGAAAAGTAAAGCCACCACAGTTGGAGGCATTTTATCCTATCATGTATTTCAGTCAGCTGAAGTGGCATGTTATCCTATATCCTATTGTTGCAGAAAATAATCTGTACCCCTGCTTTGTCAGTTAATCACTTTCCTATCTCATGAATACAAACATGACAAGATGAAATGACATTTAAATAAAAACAGAGCAATAATGTGACAGATGCAAAATAATTCCTGCTTTAAAACTTCACAGTAATTCTTCAGTTGTATGATTAAAAAAAAAAATCAAGCACATATTTGATTGTTCTATTGCATATGAGTAGCTGTAATATAGTAGTGCATGCTTGAATTTTTTTTTTTTAGATTTGAGAAAACAGGGATTAGACCCCATCCACATTGAGTTTAATCTTAGTGTCTTTGTCGTTTCTCTTCTTCTGTACCTCAGGTTTGGACCTTATGGGATTCCTATAACCGTGTTCCCCAAAAGAGAGTATAAGGACAAACCAGAATCTATGCAGCTAAAGACGGAAGTATTCCAGTCAGAGACAGATAAGGATGTCACTCAAGGACCTAGTGATGCCCCCATTAAGGACCCTGCGGATGCTCCGGATGCCCCTCTGAAGGACCCTGCTGAGACTCATGCAGTGCCCCAGCCCTGTCCCAACCCTCAACCTAACCCATGGACCTCAAAACCACCTCCTTTGTTTCAGGAGGGGGCCCCTTATCCACCTCCACTGTTCATCAGGGACACCTACAACCAGACGTTACCTCAGCCTCTACCACGCAAAATCAAGCGGCCCAAGCGTAGGCTGTATAGAGAGGAGCCCACTTCTATAATGAATGCCATCAAGCTCCGACCAAGACAAGTTCTGTGTGATAAATGTAAAGGGGCTGTGGTGCAAGGGGACAAGCGTGAAACACGCAGAGGCCCCATTTCAGACTGCCGAAGTGACGATGCCAAAAGACGGCGTAATGACAGCGCAGCGGCAGCTGCTGGTAAGCGGCCCCGTAGTGATCCACGTTCTGACGAGAAGGGCCGTGGTACTGATGGGCCCAAACGGCAGGGTTCGGCTGTACGGGTGTCGTCGGCCACCGCCTCTTCTCTGGGCCATAGTCAGGTCAAAGGTGCAGCTGTAGGGAACAAAATGGTGAAGGGGGTGTCTACTACAACCACGTCCTCGGCCAACTCTCGAGTGCAGCTCAATGCCAAAAAAGTGCTTCAGAGCAAAAATGTTGACCACTCCAAAGTACGAGAGGTGCTGAAGATGGCCAAGGCTCAGAGAAGACATGGAGAGACAGTCACAGGCAGTAGCGGGAAGACCAAGGCCATAACCAGGGCTGCTGCCCTCCAGGAAGCCCACCAAAAGGTCCACTTCACCAGGCGACTGCAGCAGATCAGTGGAGGAGGTCCAGGTTCCAACCCCCTGCCACCCAGGATGCGCATCAAGCCCCAAAGGTACCGTAACGAAGAGAACGATTCTTCCTCATGTAAGCTGCCTTGCTTGGAGAAAGTGCCGGGAGGGGGCCGTTTACCGCTGCCTAAACCAGCCCTGCCCTGCTGCACCTCCACACGTTCCTCCTCCTCCTCCTGCTCTGAAAGCCAAGTCGCCACAGCTGTAGAGCCCCAGAGGCCAGAAAAAGCAATCGAGTCCCTGCTCAGCCAGGCCCAACCCGAGCCCCTCCCAGCCCCGGAATACAGGGAACCCCAAGCTGAGCCAGAGGAACAGGAGGGGCGGGAGGAAAAGCGGGAGACGCGTGGGAGCAAGGCTGGTAACCTAGTGGTCTACATGACCCTTAACCCCAGCCATCCCGACTCCTCTAGTACCTCCATGTGCAGCATCGATAGTGCAGATGACCTAAAGTCATCAAACTCTGAGTGTAGCTCTAACGAAACGTTTGACTTCCCCCCTCCTGGTGATTTGCGATCGGCCCCTGCCCCTGGCACATCCTCCGCTTTTGCCTCTGCATCTCCCTCTGCTCCTAAGGACGACAAAAATTTCAGTAAATCCCTCAAAGCTGCTGTCTTTTCCAAAAACGTCACGAAGTGCGTTGCCCTGGATGGCAGGACAATTTGTGTAGGGGACATTGTTTGGGCCAAAATCCTTGGCTTCCCTTGGTGGCCCGCCCGCATCCTAGCCATCACAGTGAGTCGCAAAGATAATGGGCTCTTAGTCAGGCAGGAGGCCCGGGTATCTTGGTTTGGGTCACCCACCACTTCCTTCCTGGCCATTACTCAACTTGCCCCATTTCTAGAAAACTTCCAGTCTCGCTTTGACAAGAAGAGAAAGGGCCTGTATCGTAAAGCCATCACTGAGGCCGCCAAGGCTGCCAAACAGCTCACACCCGAGGTCCGAGCCTTGCTAACTCAGTTTGAGACGTGAGGTTGGTGTGCCTTGGTAAGGTAGGCAAAACAGGCACTCGAGTTGGCCCTGTACCCCTTCTGACACCTCTCAAACTTTGCTGTACCCAGTCAGCTTCCAGAGTGTAATCCAGAAAAGGCAACCAGGACTAATTTATTTTCGTTGAGAAAGCAAGAGAAGGGGATCGAATTGAGTAAATGAAAGCAAACGGTTCTCATGTCAAGTATCTAGTGTTCTCCCCTACGTAACCAGTCTTATGATCTTGTCATATCATCATACATTTATTATAAATGAAAACAGATGATGGATGTTTCTAGGAAAAGGTTTTATGGGTTTTTGAGTGGTAATGATATTTGTTTGCCTTGAAGTTGTTCTTGGTCCATGTCTGCCGTCGAAGGTCCCTGTAAACATGAAAAGAGTGGGTTTTTTGAGCTTGATTAGCTTTCACCGGAAGAATTAGGCATGTGTGAAAATGTCTGCTTGAACCCATTCTCAAACCAACTAAACTGGCCGGTCGGCTGCTACTTAGTCTGGATCCCTAATTTAGCAGAGTTAATGCTTCCTTTTGGATGATCAGAGAAAGTGTTATAGGTTCAGATTCCTGCTGCATTTTCTATCACTACAGTGTTTTTAGACGTCGGAGTCCTTATGTGTCCAGCCTCCCTTACATTAACTCAAGTCTTGGATTTCACTTAGGCCATCCTTGAATTTTCTTTTATCGTGGAAGTTGTGTAACAAAGTTGACCCTGCTGGGTAGTGCCTCGCTCAGGTAGAAAAAGGGACTTAATTGGTGCTGATCTTTCTCAGACGTTCTGAGACAACTAATCCAAGTGCAGTGATCTGAGCAGACGGCTGTTGATCTGGGCGTGGCTCTTGGCCAGCCTTGGCTTTGCAGCCAGTCGCGCTGCTGTTACGGGGGGAGGTGCCTGTAAGCCGAAGTCACCTCAAGTGCCACTGTGGGGAGAGCACAGCGACTCTGTAAACGCAGAGAGTATCACCTCAGACACGGAGAAACCTGCCAGCCTATCTGTGCGTCCTCTTTCCCCACCCCTCGCAGCTACAACATCTGCTTCCCAAGCTAATTCCTCCATAATCTACTTGCCCTGTTCAAAGCTTCTTTTTCTTTTCCTCCACTTGTTTTGCTCCCTCCTGCCGTTGTCATATGTTTGCGTCTTAGACTGCTTTTTATATGTCTGATTATGGCGAAAATGTTCCTGTTACTCAGCCAAGCCGCTGGCCACCCCGACATCGTTTTTGCATGAATTTGGGAGTGCATATGTGTTAAATGGATTACTGAGCATCTTTTGTATGGCTCATTATGTTTGTCCAATTTAGGAATATCACATCAAGAGGCAAACCTAAGTTTTGATGTAGCTGCAGTGGAATGCAAAACTCTTTTAAAATGAGTTCCATTAAGTAACTCGATGAAAACACTTGTCAACTGTGGTGTCCCGCTGCATAGTGAGGCATTGGAGTATAAGGCAGCAGTTCTCATATGTGTTAATATGTTCATCATAATTATGGGCCTCTGGCTGGTTTAGTTGTTCAGTGATTTGTTCTGATTCCAGTATTCATTCTCTCATCTGAAATGTTTTGCTAAGGATTATTGTGTGTTAAATTTATTTGTTGTGCCTGAACTTTATTTTCTGTTTTATAGAAAGAACTTTTATTTCACTATTTGCAAAATAGGGCTGAAGATCTTGTATGTAAAGTGTTCAAAATGTATTTTGCCTGACTGAATTGAAGATGAATGGCCTGGATCTTATTTCAATGTTGAGAACCAGTGATTTTATTTGTGTGGAAGAGCATTATCTCTTTTTTTATTTTTTATTTCTTGTCTGTAATCATGGTTATGTCCTTGCATTGCATATCCATTTGCATCTTAAACTGTCCAGTTATATTTACACATCTGAGAAGGGGCATACTGTAAGATATCTTGGTCTTTCCACATATGACTTTAGCAGGTAGAGATCGAAGACTTGAGGGGGAAAAAACAATGCTTGGTAGACCACACTGACTGACTGACTGACGGATGGAGGTTTGTGTAAAGGAGTAAAAACTATTTATTTTGGTGGTTGGCTTTTTCAGTTCAGCATCTTATTTTTTACTTTTATCATTTCTATCTGTTTGCAGGTCAGAGAATGCTGTAAAACCATTGAAAAAAGTAACAGTTGAAGATATTGTGTACATGTTTTCTGATGTTTTAAGAGTATATAAATAAACTGTGAACTTCAAGAATTTTATCTAGTCGTCATTATTTTCGTATTTTAACTTCTTAATACCATTTCTCACTCCAAACCATATTTGTCTCAGGTGTGGCCTAGTGCACAACCCTGTTTTGGGAAAAGCTGTTTTTCCATGTGTTTCTCAAAAAACAATAAAAATAAAATTCACTTGACAACCAAACTAGTGACTGTTGTCTGTCATTTCGCAATGAACTAAAATGGAACAGATTTTCATACCTGCAAACAGATGAGAAAACCGTAGGGCAGACTGAACCAAAATGTGCCAGACTAATTACACATCATATAGTAAATTAAGATACACAGGGTTGTCATAAATAGTTTGAGTGATTTGACATTTCAGTGGATCTCTGTTGTGCAAGTTTGTCTTCATGTTGTCAGCGTCCACGTTTTCTTGGCTTTATAAGATCTGACATTACAATGGAAAAACTGGTGCATGACATGAAACTTTAATGTAAAGAGACCTTAATTCTATATGTTTGATTTGCTTTGAATATACATGGAAGAAACATCAAATGTTGAAAGAAAATTGGATGTGTTGCCCTACCTGGCTTCATATGAGGAAATATTCATCTGTGAATTGAAAGTCAAAAAATAACATTGCCACTTTTTAAAGCTCATTTATTTCTAGAGACTATATCTTCTATCCAATAATGCCAGTTATGGACTAGGGAGCAAGTCAATATTTTTCGTAGATGAAAGTCAGAATAAGCCTGAACTTCAGTGTTATTATTCTATGAGTTATTTTAAGTGCAATGGCCCACTGTACCAACAGAGTTAGAAGAAGCTGATTTTCTCTGTTCTTCAAACATTAGATGACTGAAATTAAGCAATTTCCGAAAAGTGAATTAATTTCTATTAGCCAGTGGATGATGCCAAAATATAGGTTACACTGGATAATTTGTCATTTTTTTTTAAAGATCTTAGATTCTTACATCTCAAAGTGTATAGATTTCTTTTTAATATTTATAATTTAATAATCCTGTTTGAGATCAATTCTGACCGTCTGTTCTTGGTTTTTTCCCCTTCTCCAGTGCTGCAACTCTGAAGGGCTGCTGATTGGTCCGTTGCCCAAAGCACTGTCATTGGTCAAGAGCCAGTCAGATGAGAGGAGCCATCCACATTTGGAAAAGCAGGTGTAATGGAGAAATTATTTTTATTTAAGAAAAGAATTATATATTTATTACAATGAATTACAGACTCTCCACCTATTTCCCGATCCGTCATGCTGAAATGGATTTTTCAAACCAGATTTTTCTTTAAGCAGGCTTGCAAATACTGAACAGCACAGGGGAGTTACGGCCATTGTGAATTGTAGGTGGCGATCCAGCACACGTTAAAGCAGGGTTTTAAGTGTTTGAAAGAGATAACTTATTAAATTACATCATATTTGATGTAAAAATGCAATACATATTGCATGTGCTATGCTTCACCGTACAATTACAGAGGATTGGGTCTTATTGTGCTTCTAGTCCTCTATCCCAACATCTGTGCTCCTTTATATTGAGAAATTCTGAGCCTTAATACAGTCTTGACTGTTCTTGAAGAGAGCTTGAAGTTTTCCACTCTGTGGCACACCACACGTTCAATGATCAATGCAATCTGTACAGCGTTACAAATCACTCCGACCCACTAGTTGATTTTGACCTTTTTTGTGCTCCTCTCCACTTATAAATGATTTTCTTATTATACAAGTTAAACATGACCGTAAGAACGCATCTTTTCTACTTCTCAGTCTTTGCTTCAAGGTTTTCCTGTTAGCATCATTCATTGCACATGCTCAACCTGAGTCCTGTAAAAAGGGAATTTAGAGTGAGCGAGAAACAGCTGCTCGCTGTTGTACATACGTGCGTTTCAGTACAATCGGAGCGTTCTCCCGGCGATACATATGAAGATGGTGGTCGTGGGCATAAATTTGTTTTATTATTGTATTATATGTATAGCTCTATGAAATTAAACCTGTTTTCTGCCTTGTACCAAGCTGTGTGTTCTGTGTATTCTTTAGTAATAAATCATGCTGTATTAATTACACCCAAGAAACGACACAATGGACAATGCAGACAGGATCTTATCCGCTGGTTTAATGTGAACGCAGGTAAGGGTGAAGTGCTGAAGGCCCATTATCTCGTTGCTCATGACTGACAGTCTGGATCACTGACGCCAGCTTCACAGCAAATTTAACATTCTGGCATGCCAAAAAACTGAATATCTATATAATACAGGCTTACAAGTTGGCCAAAAACCACTTGACATGAGCTGATAATTTAATTTGTCAATGGAAAAACAGTTTTACATTACTTGTATCAATGAATTAGTGCAGACTGGGCATATGACTGAATAGTCAAGAGACTGAGCGGACACTTGAAAGGGCCAGTTCACTGTTGTGCCACTCTATAAAACGACACTGAATAGCTATCTGTTGTTGTTATTGGGATTCTGAACAAAGTTGATGGAGTAGGATCCTGTGTTGGCGTCTTGGTTGACCTGGAAGTTGGAGGTGGAGAGACCAAAGGGTCGTAAAATCATGTTGCCCAAGTCCTTCAGTTTACCTGAGAAGAACAAGAGAAGGCAAATAAATAATCTGCCAACAACAGAAAGCTATGAATACAGAAGTAGTCTTTAACAGGTAGTTTAAAAAAAAAGTGCTGACCAAGACTGCGTTTATCTGATCAGTAAAAACAGAAATACTGTAAAATATATTTACATTTATATTACATATTTAAAAATGTAATTTATTCTGGTGATAGCAAAGCTGAACTTTCAGCAGTCTTCAGTGTCACATGATCCTTCAAAAGTCTAATTTGCTGATTTGGAGAAGAACAAGAGAAGGCAAATAAATAATCTGCCAACAACAGAAAGCTATGAATACAGAAGTAGTCTTTAACAGGTAGTTTAAAAAAAAAAGTTCTGACCAAGACTGCGTTTATCTGATTAGTAAAAACAGAAATACTGTAAAATATATTTACATTTATATTACATATTTAAAAATGTAATTTATTCTGGTGATAGCAAAGCTGAACTTTCAGCAGTCTTCAGTGTCACATGATCCTTCAAAAGTCTAATTTGCTGATTTGGTTCTCAAGAAAAAACATGTTGAAAGTGTCATCTTTTGTAAGAATGTCTTTTATGTCAATTTTGATCGATTTAATTAATTCTTGCTGAAAAAAATGTTTTAAGTAAAGTCTTAAAGTAGTGGTTTTCTATGAATAAAATGAAAATATGCTTTAAACAAAATGACAATATTAACAGCTAAAAGCTGGTCTAAATGTTTATCCCTCCTACATTAAAATATATTAAAGGGGTCCTATTATGCTTTTTCACTTTTTCAACTTTAGTTAGTCTGTAATGTTGCTGTTTGAGCATAAAAAAGATCTGCAAAGTTAAAAAGCTCAAAGTCCACTTCAAAAGTAGATGTTTTATTTAACAGAAATCAATATTCAAAAACTACAACGAACGACTCGTTTGGGCTACACCGCATATTTTCCGGGATTTGTGATATCACAAATATCGACGAATGGGACAAGACCTGGTTGAGCTGCACTAGAGAAGGCAACGAGTGTTATCACTATGTCGGAGACACGCTAGCTTTCCCAAGGCAGACGAACTTAGAGTGGTTACAATCATCCGGGTTTAAATCGCGCTCAAATTGATTTGATATTGACGCAAAATATTTACTGACGCTCGCAGGCGGCTATGGTAAGGGGCGTGACATTTCCCGACCAGGCGCCGAGTGGAGCCAATCACAACACACACTGGCCCAGCTAACCAATCACAGCACATTTCGTATTTCAGAAGGCGGGCCTTCATTTGATACAGGAACTATTCGAGTCGTTCATGCCAGACTGGGGAGAGATGTGTTGTAATAATGTAAAATATGTGAAAAATAATGTGTTTTTCGAACAACCGAGTACGAGAGCCTGTTCTAGTACACCCCCAAAACAAAATCAAGACTTTGTAAAAGAGCATAATAGGACCCCTATAAATAAAATTTAAATGTAAAGTATGACATGATTCTGTACATCAATAATGAACATGTGATTAGAGCTGCAATCAATTTAAGCCTTATAATAAAGTGTGTAAATACTTTTCATAAACATGTTTCATAGGCTAGGCTTTAAATGCAACACTCAATTTTATGCAATATGTAAGGGGAGTCTCCCTGCTTCCAACACTCTGCCACCAAGGGGTCCTTGGTCCGAAAAAAGGTTGAAGAGTCTAAAGGTGTAAAGCGATTGTGGAGAGCTTTGTCTCTGTGACTGGACTGCAGTGAGATCAATATGAAGTGTTGAGCAGCCACACCCTCACTGTGAACTGCAGGAAATTCAGCCTGACAGCAACAGTCTTTACCTCAAACTGGAAATCTGATCCTTAGAGGAAACTTACAGTGGCTGCAACATTTATCAATAATACCTTGAAACAGACAATACCAGCATGTGCTCTGAGAAAGTGCAGCAACATTTAACCAGTAATGGAAAACTGCACAAATCAATGCTACACTACTTAGTTATTGCTTTAAATGTCTACTCGAGGAACAAACAGATGTACATTTTCTATTTTATTAGAGATCAGATGATCTTTATGATCAATATTAATACCAACATATTAAATATGCTTCATTGTCTGACAACTGATATATAAACCATTGTTGTTTTGAATTATTTCTGCTTTTTGACATAGTAATAAAATAATCCTTAGACATTAGGATTAAGTTTATAAATATATCATTTATTATTATTCTATCACTTTTATTATTAATGTTATTGTTATTTATTGTCATTCTGCTTTTTGACCCAATAAAATGATAAGACATAAGAATTAAAATAACAGATCAAATTAGATACATGTATTATTAATAACAATAACAATAATAAATGTGAGTGAATGAAAAATAAGAAATATTTTGCCAACTATCAGTCTCTCCAGGAACTGCAGTTTCATGACTGTGCTGTTGTTTTAGAATTGAATATTATTTTTATTATGAAGCATTTTTAAACTAAAATGATAGCAAAAAAAAAATGTCAAAGTGTGGCCAACTCTCAGACAGCCACAAACCTTTGTCTCAATGCAGTGCAATTTATGGTCTAGTGGAAATGAAAAATTCAGGAAGACTGCATTAGATATGATTTATGCAACAAGGGCTTTTTTCAATCCAAGGTTCTTCGGTTTGAAAGGACTCTTTGAAACATACTAATTAATGGATCAGACTAGAACTTTCTAAGAGCAATATGCTTAATAGCAACTGTGTCTATATATATTATCCAGACAACCTTCAAAATTAACAGCACTGTTGCACTGAAGCACTCACCCTTTCTGTAGCCTTATGAGTGTTGCTAAATTACAGTGGTCATATTTACTCATATTTTGGGGGGATTTTACATGTGCTTTTATGTGGTGAAGTATTCCGAATATTGTGATTATCAAACGCTGCAATTTTATTAAGTCTGCTGCACCGCATGTTTCAGAGTGAAAAGCGGCACTGTATTCATTTATTTGCATGCAGCTTATAATAGTAGTGAGAATGAATAGTGTTTTCAAAGCAGCTTGCTTCTCACAAACTTCATCTCTGCAAGCAGTGTGAGTTTAATGTGCATTTGGGAACACAATGTGTGCTAGGTTCACATTATTCAAACTTGCATAATTTCCAACATTTTTGTGGACAAAATTTAGCTTGAGGATTTGATATGTTAAAAGCTTGAGGGTTTGAACATTGAAAGAAGAATTTAAGATGTCAATATTTGTATTGTAACTTGTAGTGCTAGTTGATTCTTATAAAGAGTCAACCCAAGTGTGAACTGCTTTAAAACAATTTTTTTTCCTTAGCAGTATAAACTGTTTTTAGTCTGGAGGTCTCAGAGGTAGCAATAGAAGATGTTTTTATATGAAATGAAATGTCATATCACAATTGTAATATGAGACAAAATAATCACAATACACTTTTTATAAGAAAAATGTATTCATACTCATCATCTCTTCTTTCAGCTTCTCATTTCGCTCCTCAATTTGCCGTGGCAATCGCTGTGAAAGAGAAATAGAAAGAGAAATTTTGAGACTCAGAAAGATACCGTGGTGTCTTGACAATGAAGTCTTAAAGGGGTCATATGATGTTGCTAAAAAGAACATTATTTTGTGTATTTGGTGTAATGAAATGTGTTTATGCGGTTTAAGGATAAAAAAAACACATTATTTTCCACATACTGTACATTATTGTTTCTCCTCTATGCCCCGCCTTTCTGAAACGCGTCGATTTTTACAAAGCTCATCGTTCTGAAAAGCGAGGTGTGCTCTGATTGGCCAGTTATACAGTGCATTGTGATTGGCCGAATACCTCAAGCGTGTGACGGAAATGTTTCGCCCCTTACCATACTGTGATGCCGTGTCCTGGAAGCGATGAGACAAAAACAATAAAACCCATTATAAACGAGGCATTTGTTGCATCCAGTGGGGACATAATTACGGATTATAATGACTTATACTGTCTTTTTACGCGTTACATCGCGAAAGGAAAAATTTAAATCGCATCATATGACCCCTTTAAAAGGAGAAAAAAAAAGTTTCAATTTCATTTTTTTCAATTGCCCATTCTTATGTTGCTTCAAACCGGTATACGTTTTCATTCATTCATTGTGCACAAAACACCATATTTGAGGCTGTTGATTTGAAATCATGAAATATGATGAAATGACAATGCAACACATGCATTATATTATGGACGTATTCAAGCTTGAATGGGCTTGAACCTTTCTGGGCCTTGAACGTGGTAGTTGCATTGCTGTCTATGCAGGGTCAGAAAGCTCTCGGATTTCATCAAAAATATCCTAATTTGTGTTCTGAAGATGAATGAAGGTCTTGCGGGTTTGGAACGACATGAGGGCGAGTAATTAACGACAGAATAGTTAATTATCGCTTTAATGATAATCATGTAGAGCAGTGGCTCTCAAGCAAAGGGCCAAGGCCCACTCGGGGGCCTCAGCAGACTTCCAAGTGGGCCTCAAACTGACTTAAAATTAATTAAAATAAGACAAAACAGGCTTTAAAATAAGCAAAACAACTTATTTTTACTTGAAAGAACCAGGATTCCCATGATCTTGGAAAACCTTGATATATGAGGAAAGACTGGTTTTAAAAGTTTGTTTTCTAGATATGGAAAAGTCCAGTAATTTTTATGAAGAATGTATGTTTACGAATATATATTCGTCTCGCACAAGAGAGCCGCATGTTTAGGAAGCCATGTAAAATTAATGTAAGTTCAACTTTTAAAAAACATGTCTCGAGACTTTATGGCAGTTTTTCTGCATCCCATGTTTTTAAATGAAAAAAGTGCTCTTTGTGATTGGTTTTCGGTCCTTTGTATTAAACTATACATACATGCATACATGATGCTGTTTTGTTTCTAATTGTTTAAGCAACGTAATTAATTATATATGGTTTATAAACATTATTTTAAACATTATGCACTTCAAAGATAGTCGTGTTATTTTATTGCTTTGAAGAAATGCGCATTAGTAATATTTTGCTCGATGCGCCCTCTTGTGGCCTCAGGAGAGAAGCCAAAAGCTTTTTTCCCCGAACACAAATTATGCCTTTTAAATTCGAATATTGATAATATTTTAGTACAAAATTCGAATTTAGTTTTTCAGCCATTTTGACAGCCCTAATGTTTACTACTAGTTATGGCAAGTTATAAAATAATTTATCAGATATTTTTAATAATCCTTAACTGGTAAATCATTAATAATTGGAAAGTGATGTAAAATCATTGGTTAAAAAGAATGGGAACCCTAATATTTACTTTACAGTAACTAGCAGTGTTGTTATGGACAGTGGAGGCCTTGGAGTCGAAATGCTGATGTAGAAACACTCACCATACAGGCCTCTCTAGCTGCAGGGATGCCCGGGTCTTTCTCCAAGACACTTTTATAGTCCTCTAGAGCTTCATCAAGCTTGTCTGTCTTCTCGTAGAGTTCTGCTCTCCGCAGAATGGCACGGACATAATTTGGATTTAGTTCTATGGCTGTGGAAAGCAAGACAATACACATTGTCTCCAAAGCCTTTGTGTCATGGCAGTTCAAATGTCAAATTACATTTCCACAGGAAAAGAAAATGAAGATATACATCAGAGACAGAACATAAAAATAATGTGTTGTGAGTCGTGCACATTCTCTAGATACAGAACACAATGTGTGCAGGATATTCTCTCACCTTTAGAGCAGTCACTGATAGCGCTGTCTTTTTTATCCTGGCAGATAAAATTATGAATAAACTAGTTATTATGCAAAACTATGAATAAATACAGGAATATTTGGATAATCAAAAACACTAGAAGAAAAATCTAATTTGAGCACTCAAAGTAATGATTGTATCAAATGTTATTACATTGGACTGGTTCCAACATATTCTAAAATGATAAATCATCAAGTCATCGATTCATGCTTATGCAAAAATAAAAAATTCTTATAATCATATGCATACATATGCTATATCTACATGGTGTAGTACAGTAAGCAAACACTATGTGTCTTCAGAGGACATTTAAACAAACAATAGTTCATAGTGACAAAATGTGTTCAGAAAAAATAAAAAAAAGAAAAGAAATATACATTCTGTATCTGCACAAAACCCAAAAGTTCACCTGATGCAGGCGTGCAGCAGCTCGATTAGAGAAGAGTATGGATCTCTCTTTACTGTAGCACACAGGACACACTTTCAGAGCAGCTGTGTAAGACTCTTCAGCCTCTACATGCTCTGTAAACAATGACATGTCAGAAGCTCATTCACAAACACAACCTTTCAAATCTGATACCGCCTCAATGCGGTAAACATTAGGGATAGTTTAGCTTAAAATGAAAGTTATGTCATTATTTATTCACTCTCTTGTTGTTCCAAACAAGTTTGTTGTTGCACATAAAATTTGTGAAGAATCTTCAAGCATGTCTTTTCATTTTGAACACATCAAAACACCAGAAAAGTTATAAACGTCCACTACATACCAAAATTAGGAAGGAACAGACTAAAATCAAGTTGTTATTCACTGATTTTCACAGTATTATGCATGGACAATTATTTACATTTTGGTGTGCCATCATGAGACACCTGATTTGACTAGTGCTCAAAGGTTTGGAGTTGGTAAGCCTCTTATGCTCACAATGGCTGCATTTATTATAGTAAAAATTGTGAAATTTTATTATAACTTAAAATACATTTTTCTACTTTAATATATTTTAAAATGTAATTTATTCCTGTGGTGCAAAGCTAATTATTAATGTTAAAAAAAAACAGCAAATATTTTTTGTGGAAACCATGATGCAGTTAAAAAGAACAGCATTTATTCAAAATAGAAATGTGTTTTTTTAATTCTATCAATGTCTTTACTGTCACGTTTGATCGATTTAATTCCTACTTGCTGAATTTTTAAAGAAAAAAAAAATGTACTGACCCCAAACTTTTGAACTGTAATGTATAGTGCACAAGTTGTACAGACAACCTATACTAAGTTTTAATATTGTTTTTGTTGTTTTCGTCTTTTATGGAGCTTGACAGATGTGACTATGAAGTGTCAGTGTCTAAAAAAAAGAGCTGTGTAAAGATTCTTCAACGAGTCTTTAAAAAAATCATTCGGGTAAACAACATGAGGGTTAATAAATATTGAATATATATGATGCAATATTTTATGAACTACTCTAAATGGATAAGGAGCAGGAATCCTGTTTATCCCTGACTGTGGGATTGTCTTACCTCCACTCTTAAACTGTGTGTTGCCCTTCTCCTTCAGCTCTAAACTCTCCTTTCTTCTGCTCTGTAATTTGAAAAAAAAAAGAGTGAGAATATCAATGGTGTGAAATATAGTACAGCCAGAACTGTAGATTTTGAAGGACATGACAAAATAATAATTGGATAATGACACTCACCTCTTTTTCTTCTTCCGTCAGGTCTTTCTCCAGCTCACGCAGGTATTCCTCATCAAACTCTTTCACCTTGACCGTCTCCTCTTTAAATTCTGAATCAGAGTTGCCCTCTTTCTGCTCATCGCTCTCCACAAACCTCTCCCATTTCTCCTGTTCCTCATCATTGTCTTTCTCAGGATCCAGGTCTGTTGTTAATGAGTTGTGTCTCTTTTCAGCCGAACTGTCCTCGTGCCCTTCAGAATCCTCTTCTGACGTGTTATCCAAACACAACCGGTCAGCGCCATCCATGTTTTCTAGTCTCTCATTTTCTGTCCTGTCATCTGACTCCAGCATATCTCTGTGCTCCCTCTCTGTGCGTTTAACATCAGTGTGTCCATCTTCTCCACGTAATGTGTCCTCACAGTCATAGAAACAGTCCTCCTCCGGGTCTGTGGTGGTTTCTCTGGTCTCTGACACTTTTAAGGTGTCAGCCATGGCGGCTGAGAGCGTCTCAGACTCTGTCTCCATCTGGAGTTGTGCTGTCACCACAACCTAAACAGTATTTAAGTGAAGTAAATGTAAATGGTCTCAAGTCATATTCACCTCCAACACTGCAAAACAATTTAACATGATCATACATTTAGGCTATTTGAATAAAATGACTATGCCCATTTCATTTCAGACTGTCATATAAAGTAAGTATGAAATAAGTCTAAAATGCAGACTTTGATAAACTCGTCTTATTGTTATCAACATGTCCTGCTTATTTTAGACTTGATGTACCTCGTAACATACTTAATTTATACTAAATGTTTCTGCATGCATGTATCAAATAAAAATAGAAATCATTACAATATTCGACAATGGAATGTAGTAGCTTGCATTAACAATTCAGACAAAAACATCAGTAAACACATACTATTAGCACATGTGTTAACAGGACTGATTTCACTTCATCAGCTGTGCACTTGGCAAGCACGAATGCATTATTTTAAAAGTTTAATTTTCATTTGCATTGATATTTACAAGCAGTATGAAAATGATATTTTAAACGCTACATATTAGATGAAAACAATAACTCAGTACCTCTTCCTCACCTTCTAGAAATGAACCATAACGTCTTTTCCGGTTAATCACTCCCGGGTGACGCATGGGTGGAAAAGGATTCTGGGATATGTAGTACGAGTTCGTATTTGCTCACTAGAATACTTATTTGTGTTTTGTAGTGGTTAACATTTCATTTTACATATCATAATTCATAAATAATTTTCTAAGTGTAACATTTAAAATCACCAGAACATACACCTAAAAATATATCTGGATTGTCTTCATCATTATGAATATTAATCATTATGAATAATAATAATAATAATAACAATAATAGCTAAATTGGGACATCAGATTAAGTAGAACAAATCATTTTACTATTCACTACTGAATGTCTTTTAAATATCGAGATACAATAAAATGTAAATACACTAACAAGTAAGTGAATAAAATGTTGTGATTTATATTTTTTATTTTATTAATAAAATTAATCATCATATAAGTCAAACTGGGACAGCAGGTAAAGTGAGACAATTACTGCAATTACTGATTGATTGTATTTTACATAACAGAAGACAATTAAATATAAAAGCCATTAGCTATTGTTAAAAGCTTAGTTGTAATATGATCTAAATCATCTCCACATGAAAGGGAAAATCCACATGGAACCTCCACAAAATTATTGGATGATCTCTTACATTATATATACCATCCTCCTTCTTGATCAAGCTGGTGAGACCAACTCGGGACAGTAAAAAGGAATATGTTTTTATGCTTTAACAAAAATCATGTTTGCATTTAACATTGGGAATATAAAGCTTTTATCAGTGCTCCAACATCAGTCTAACAAACACTGCCCCACCCTTGCACACTTCAGTATTTTGGCTGCAATGGAAGTGTTTTTTTATGGGCCGCATTGTTTATTGTTTGTGTTGTCACAAACAGTGGCTAAATGAGGCCAGCGGAACAGGAATACTAATATGAAGCCAGTCTGAGTTTTGGCAGTCTTCCTCTCTCACTTCCGAGTTCTCACTTGGGCAGCTTGATGTGTTGAGGAGCTGAGAGAATGACATGATAGAAAGTTCTGGCTCAGAATGCATCTATGTTCTGTGTCTGGCTCCCCTTTGGGCCACCTGGTAAATCCTGGCATAGCAAAAGATTGTAAAACCCACTCATAGGGAAAAAAAACGCCCTTAAAACTTCACATATAACAAGCCCATATATTTTCAGCATATGACTTCACTTTTCCACTGACAACAGTGAAAATAAAAGGAGAGAGAAGGACCAAGATAGAAACAGAAGTCTGTGTGACATCCTGGTATGCTCATGCAAGGTCTTGTGATACATGTGGTGATACATTTAAATATAGAGGCAAACGTGACATCCAGGGAAAATAAGCAACACAAAAACTTTACATGCACCAACAAACAAAGCATTACAAACACTGCTAGCCTAAATCTGGCAGCTTCCAGAAATACTTGCAGTGTTTTTCTAATAGAAGCAAGTCACAGAAATAACAGAAATTTTAATAACAGGAAAAAAATATATATAAAATGTGATTGAGAAGTGATGCCCTGTGCTGTGGATATGTTAAAACAAGTGTGATATTTGCAAATGGTCTTTTATTTTTCAAAGTGAACAGTGTTTTTCCTGTAGATTTGTCTTTAGTTAAAGGGTTAGTTCACCCAAAAATAAAAATTCTGTCATGAATTACTCACCCTCATGTCATCCCAAACCTGTAAGTCCTTCATTCATCTTCAGAGCACAAATTAAGATATTTTTGATCAAATCAGGGAGCTTTCTGACTCTGCATAGACAGCAACACAACTAAAAAGTTCAAGGCCCAGAAAGGTAGTAAGGACATCGTTAAATTCATCCATGTGACATTCAACCATATTGTTATGATGCTACGAGAATTTTTTTTGTGCTCAAAGAAAACAAAAACAACTTTATTCAATGATTTCTTCTTTTCCGAGTCAAAATTCGACACACGTTCACAAGAGTACCATGACGCATGCATGTGCATAGATATGTATATATATATATATATATATATATATATATAT